TGGATTGTCATCATCATTTACGCGGGCACGAGCACGGCGGCGTGTGCAGCGGGGAACAACACTGCAGCGCAGCGCCACCATCGCCGCCACTACCACCTTCTCCACTGTAGGACCCACGGGACGGAAGAGTTCCAGTCGTGAAATTATACGCGTGCTGCTAGGTTTTTTTTTTTTCCCACCACCTCCCTCCGATCCCGTCCTTGCCGCCTAACCCGCCGCCCAACAGTTCTGACAGTGTTATTTTTCCTCCGATTCGCACGCAGTTCCTCGCTTCCATCCCTCGACCTAGTCACTCTCTCTTTCTCTTTCTCACTCTCTCTCTCTCTCTATATATATATATATATTTACGTATATATACGAGCACACGTACGATACAACGTTGTCGCGTAATAACTAAAAGTTGTCGTTGTCTTTTTTTTTTTTTATAGATATTTTTTTCTACGTACACGTGAACGCGCGCGCCCACGCACACTCTTACGCACATTCATATTTACGCGTGTGTGCGTATAAATATATAAAGTAGAAAGAGCCGTTGTACATTTTCCCATGAGGATCTGTGCGCAAATACACACACACACATATATATATATATATGTATAGGTGTCTGAATACATATACTGTGCGTTGGTGTGTGTGTGTGGGTAAGTTTTTTTTTCCTCCCGAGGTCGGCCGAGCGTAAAGAAAAGCTTACCGCCGTCATTAACGTTTTGCGGCGCCCTTTCTGTTCGCGGGGCCATAGTAAATCATTTAATCTCCGGTCGACGGGACCCGCGATGCAAACGGGACGTGAAAATTTTTTCGATAGGGTGTTGTGACCTGTCGCAGCGACGACCACGCGCGCGAACGTAATAACATCTAACCGAGTAAAAAATTCCGTTTTACCAACCCCCTACGCCGCCGAGTAACAAAAAAATAAAATAAAGCTTTCCGCGTGTATACACACATTAATACCAATATTTTTTTAATATTAATTCGAGGCGAAGCGAATGACTCCCGGAGTATAATCGTTCGGATTCGGCCGAACCGTAATTCGGTTTTAAATTCGCCCGCAATGCCAACATTATTTTATTGTAATATAAATGTGTGCACAATCAAACAGTCGTGATTAAACTACAAGATAACCCGCCGTCCACGTCGACGCGTCACTGAACTGTATCTCGTACACTCGTGTATAACTACACAAATGTAATACGTTCAGTGCGATTTGTGTGTGCAACGCGGAGAAAAGTTTTCGAATACTTTAACGTTGAACCACAATGGCCGAGATGGACGTGCGCGCGGGCTGCGAATAGTCGTTTCCCGCGTATTTACCCGACATCGAGTGTAATACCGTGTGTCGTTACACGCGCTGGACGAGCAATTGCGACCGTTTTTATCGACCTTTGCCGGATTTTTATGTCTTGCTGTAACTGCGTGCCGCCCGGGTCTCTCGGATTTCCACGGTATTCCACGCACGCATTTTATCACACGCACCATCAAATCTCAATCAATGGCCGATCGGCCGTTCGAGGCATTTACGCGTTGATTTATCATTGTAATCGCGCGGGCCGACGGCAGATTTGTCGTTGGTCGCGCGAGAAACGACGAGAACAGACTCCGAAAGCTCTCACGTACGTACACGCACACGCACGTTATTTACTGCGTGTAAGTGCATTTAGCGAACGCTTCTCGAGCAGCGATAGAAGGCTCGTAAAAATTTAACGGGACGGGGCGGTGGGCGGGGGATGTTTAAAGTTTTCGGCGATCTCGAGCTAATCGAACACGTCGATGAGACGTCGATAGGATTTCTCGACGGGGTCGTCCCGCGGTGCGTCCCCTTTAACGAGCGTGTACAGGTTTAACTCACGCGAATACCGCAGCACGTACCGTAACGGGCCGTTTACTACCGCGGGGCGTGTATCGCGTCGTACACGGCCGTTTAAAACGAGAACGTTCCGTTGCGCGACGACAACGCGTTCGTTCACGAACCGCACGAAAGTCGAATCGTACCGTGACCGCATTGTTCGTAATTGTTGTGTACGAACGTAATGATTCGGACGTTACCAACGATAACCAACAGAAACGCGAGCGCGACCGTCCAAAACGTGTTTTATTCGACGGGGAAATCTGGAAATCCGTCCGCGCTCGAACGTCCCGAGTCATACGAATACCGTTATTGTTATTATTGTTATTACTATTGTTATTACGTTCTGTGCGCGATAAGCACGTGTATTATCCCCGTGTCGCGGTAGTATTTATAGTACGCGCGTGACGTGGAGAGAAACCGAACGCGAAGAAAAGCTCGCGCACGCACGCACCGCGACCGACGACGTCGACGACGAAACAACATGGCGCCGTTCACCACCCCCTTTGGCCCGCCGCCGCCGCCGCGTAAAAGCAGCAGTCTATTCTAGCGGAATTTCACGTCGGGGGTCTTCCCAACACTCTGATGAATGTTTGTAATTATAACAGTCAGACCCGTTCTAATTTCACCGAATACACGCGCGCACTCCTCCCGCACAACAACACTCCGCACCGGCGCACGGTCCCTGCCGCCCCGCCGTATCACGTTCAACCGACTGCCAACCTCTCTCCACCATCCCGCAACCATAGGGCCCTGCGTCCCCCGTGCTCGCTAGACGATACGCTGCGGGGCCCACGTTCGCGCCGCCCCGCACGTCGACGGTCCTGTTGGCGCGCACGCGCGCGGGGTCCCCGCGAGAATATAATCCCGAAAGTTCCGGAATCTAAACTTTGGAAACTACATCACCCTCGAGTCACCGTGACGAAGTTACCGACTGAGGGATTAAAATAATTCCGCGCGTCGTCATGATACCGCACTACGTATAAAATCCACCGCCGCTCCCGTATCGCGTTTTCCCGAAATGTGCTCGCAACACATTTTCTATCCGTGGCCCGAACGATCGACATTGTGTAAGCGATATTATTATTTATTTTTTATATTTTTTTTATCAATCAGCACGTGAAGACCGCCGCCACGACTAAATGCATCGGACGCTAAAAGCAATTGCATAAGAGAGTACCAATCAAATATTGCGCTCGGGGAGAAACTTCAAAATTTGCCCTTTTGTACTTTGAATTTAAAATTATTATGATTATTAAATATTATTTTCAACAATTAATTCAATCCATGCAAACACGTTTAAGTGTTTGTAAATACAATTAAACCGAAATGCAAACTTTTCATTTTTGCTCCCGGAGCGTAGGCACCTCTAGCCCCCTATGTCCTTCGCTACGGATCTGATTACATATCAATGTCGTACAATCACGTATCCTTTAAAAGTGAGTCGTCGAACGTAGTAATATTGTCGTCTACGCCAGGCACCGGCAACCCGTGGTTCGAGGGCCGCATGCGGCCCTCGGAACTTTTTGTTGCGGCCCTCCAAATATACTTCATGGTGTTTGAAATTTTAATTTTATATCTTAAATTGTTATTAATAAAATGTAATCATGACTATTTCATAATAATGTGAAATGCGCTATGGGCGAAAACTTAATCTAATCGTATGTAATGTATATATCAAAAAAATGAAAACTTCTTTCAGTAGCATTTATATTTGTGACCAGAAATGTTCAATATTTAAATTTCGAATAAATAAATATTATTCACGATTATGCGATTAACACTTGAATGCTGCCTTGTGGATATCAACATCTAATATAAAAGCGGATATAAACGAATTGGCGGGAAAAATTCAACCTCAAAAAATCACTCTAGAAACTTGATATTTAAATACTTTTATGCACTCAAAAATTAAGTAATAATTATTTTTAAACTATTAAATTTTCTCCAATAATTAATGAATTTGATTAAAAATCAGTTAATAAGGACAACCGCAATGTTAGACTTATAATATGATTGTGTTGCTATCTGTAAATACGAGTATATTAGTATTATAATACATATATGAGAAAATTACTTTTTTTAATATTTTAATTTTGTATGCGGCCCTCAATGAAAAATTGAAAAAAAATTACGGCCGTGTAGGTAAAAAGGTTGCCGACCCCTGGTCTAAGCACACACCATTGGTCTGCATTCTCTAGGACCGGTCATCGGATATAATGACGTACTACATGCACCGTGATTTACCTGCGGTTGACGTGTAATTATTACCACCGCGGCAGCCGCACCACGGGATACGGTCGTTTTGATCGTTTCGGCCGAAATTAATATTCGTTTTCTAAAAACGTTGCACTATACGTACGAATAATATCGAATCAAAATGGTAAACGATCGTATTATTTCCACGAGAACTCGCGCGGCAGCACATCGTATCGGTGAACGGTGAAAGTGTAGAAAAGAGTTGCACAGGTCGGTCATTATCCACTAGTACGTCATACATAGTTTCACAGTAATAACGATGATAATAATAATGTATGCATTTCACAGTGATTATCAAATCTACTCTTTGTACAATATTATAATGTACGACGTGCATCGTGTAAAAAAATGTCTGCGCGTTTCTTTTGTTATCGCATTTGGATAAGGTATGCGCGTCTGAAATGACCAAACTCTACAATGTATACCTGTATACCGCGATGTGTATACACATTTTGGGACCCGTAGACACGGACAAGAGAATTGGAATAGAAGAGCAGTTGTTCTTTTTTCCTTGCTCTCCTCTTAAGTGAATGATGATTCGGCGTTTTGTTAATACATACTCAGATTATAGGGTCTTTCGTAATTACAGGTTGATGGTGGATTGGCGTTTTAAAACCATTAAGGACACACACACAAACGTGCGCACGCTCGTGAACACCGGGCGCGCGTGCGCGCGTATGTGTGTGTGTGTGTGTGTGTGTGTGTGTGTGTGTGTGTGTGTGTGAGTGTATAATATACACACACGCGTAGGCATACGTATACACGCGTAAAATAGACAATGATGAGATGATGTAAAAATCAAGTTATAAAAACAAAACACAAATTGTATCGTAATGGTTTTTGAAGTACGCCACATTAATATATATTAACAACGATTCGAAAGATAATGTCGACTTACCAATTGTTGACTTGAAGTATAGTCAGACCAGTATCTTGAGCAAGTTGTTTTTTCTGATCTTCCGATGGGTAAGGATGCTGAAAAAAAAAAATAAAAGATATTAAGTTATTCGATAACGGTATAATCCTTCTTATGGATGTATCTGACATATACCCATATGCATAGCGTGTGGTAAATAATATATCTACATTAGTCATTAACCACAGAGTACGGTTAAGAAAATATTAGACAATTTATTTGGCTTGCATGCAATTTGTTCGAATGAAAAATAAACACCATGGTATTTATAGAGAGCCTTATAATAATATTTTAATGATACATCGGCAAATCTTTTTTTTATATATATATTTAAATCTATACACTTATAACTAACAGTGTTTAAATAAGCTGAGACACGATAACGTTTTGAACCAAATTATATAAAAAAAAAAAAAAACAGTTCGCAATTGAATCCGGAGGCGTTCTAAGCCGCCCACTTTTGACAAGTGACTCCGAGGTAGAGGATATATTATTTGTTGTATAATGATGCGTTGTCGAGGTCGCGTGCTCTATACGACATCTCCATTATTCTTGAAAACATCACGTACAATAATAGGAAGGGAAAAATCAGGAATATCAACGCCTCTTTGTAGAACGTACCGTTGCCATTTCCGTTTCATCGCGTCATATCAATGTTCGCGCGAATATTATTCTCAACTTCGTAGGCGTAACCGCGATACAGCACCATTAACGCCCAAACGGCACGTGACATTCGATATATCACAAGTAACGCGTATACAGTTATGAGAAAATTATTTTTAGAACAAAAATACTATAACGAGAACACGAGGTGGATATTTCGCCGAGAGACAATCATTATTGTGTTACGAATCACCGTCGCGAAGAATCACACGGAGCGTGTGCGTGCAGCAAGAACGCGTTTCCATTGCGAAATTGATATAAAATAATAACCGAAACGTGCAAGTATCGTAACATACGAGTGTATATACGTATACATATAGCAGTATCGTATTATATTTTATGTATCGTAAAGGGCGTAGGTAGGTATCCTGCAATAAAATCACGATATGATATGCAACGGGAAGGAATTTTCTATCATTTTCATAACATGATGTATACCCCCTTTTGTCGGTAGACGAAACCAATAACGATCGAGGAAGAGCCTTTTTTTTATCCCCGTAGCTCGTTGGAAAAGCAATAAAAGCATTAAAGCATTGCCTATATAGACCGATGGGAATATTGGTTCCCCTCTTCTCACATATTTCCCTATCGGTTAGAAAATATATATACAAGCGTGTATAAAAATAGATGGAAGAATGTGCACGAATATTTTATAGTACGACAGCTCTATATAATAGTGTAACTCAAAAACCCAAATCTGTGATTCAAATATCCAATCGGTAATAACGCATATATAAGATACCCAAAAAGCAATACATGGGATTGGAGTTGTTCACGTGGTACGGTTATTATCGTAGTCAGTGATATTGTTTTATTGAAACATAGTACATTTAATATTTTTTTACTGTGATAATAATAATAATAATAATTTTTACTATTATAATACGATTTTAGAAATAAGCGTGTAATACTATCCTTTCTCCAATAATAAACGTAACCTTGTCATAGTTATATGTACATGAATAAAACGTCGAATTAGCCTTGTGTGAACTCTAGCAGAAGGCTTAATACTTTCATGATAAAAGCATAATTATAATTTGAATACTATTACGAACACTAAAACACGAAATGAAAATATTTTATTTCCCCAAACATTTATTGGAGATTGGAGAAATAAAATATTACGTATCAAACATTTATTGGAGATTGATACGTAGGTTATTATGTTTACGTGCGAATGAATAAAATTAGCGTGCAAAATTAATAAAATATATATCATATTGTATCAAATGTTTTAAATAGAACTTAACTTGTACCGGATTGTTGTTTAAACACTGATACAACGAACGTGTGTCTAAATTTAATTCCGAGGGTCATTTACCAAAATAAAGACGAAAGGGGAGAAGAGTGTTCGTTTGAAACCGCTGATAAAGCACGAAGATTAAACTCCGAAAAATAGGCCTGTGAGCACGTAGTTCCGTTTTTGAACTGAATCCCAAATATCCACGACGGTCGCTGAATGTTTAATGGAGCCCGATTGAAGCCTCTTGGGGCCCCCGGGGGTGTGTATCCCCCCGTCGTTTTAGGACCCATTACGAATGCCAGTTGCATGACCCTTTAAACCAAAGTGAGACCGAGAGAAAGATAGAGAGAGAGTGAGAGAGAAAGACAGACAGTGGGGAAGATAGAGGGAACGACGGAGAGAAACTGGGAAGCGTGTAGAGAGACCGTTACAGTGAAAGCAAGCAGTGAGATAAACATTTTCCGTCGTATACCCGCGGGAACCCGAAACTGGCAAAGTTGAAAAGGACAGGTTGATTGGGCGTATAAACCACCGTACTCAAATGTGATTGAATAATCGAAATGATTATTAATATTAGAATAACAATAGAAATGAAATGAACAACTTATATATTTAATAATTTATTATTATACGATATATCATCAAATTTATAAAGATTACGGTAAAATCGTATATTTATATGTATCTATGAGAACATTTACAAAATACATACACTTATTGACACCACTTAAGGGAACGTATAGGTTGCAGAAGTACACGTATACGACGTAAAAGGCAAAAAATATTTTATGGGATAGAAGCTGTTTCCTCTAACAACTGTAACACATAAGGATTTCCTGAGAAATATAAACCGCAGCGTACGTCGTAGATGGGCTATTTCATTCTTCCTTCAGCCAATATAACTGCAACAACACGAGGGGACCGGGGAAAAAGAAAAGGGTCTTCGGGGAGTCGTGGTGACTATTTCCTTTCCGGATAAGCGACACAGAAATGGAAAAAGGTTTTTTTTTTTTTTTTTTACTACAATGTAATAGTATACAGCGAGCGCTAGGCAGTTTAGAGGGACGACTCTTAGCGGCCACACTGATACGTCGTTGAGTCATTCACATATTCATAGAATCGCCCTTCGCCGAGGCAGTTTTCCTAAGCAATTTCCGCACCCCTCTCCGGATCGCTATCTCGTGTACGCATATTATGCGCACCTCATCACCATTTCACATGTTATAATAATTCCCGAGGAGTTCGCGCCAAATCAGACGAAAAATGTTTCGTGTGTACGCGAGCGTGACGTCGGCAACGGCGTTAGTGACGTCTGGACCGTCATGCACTTGTACGCAGATTTTTTGCACGGCTCGTATTGTACGCCCGCGAGCAAAAACTAATAATAATAATGAAAATAACAATAAAAAAAAATTCGACATTACGTCGTAAAATATCGAACTAATGGTCGTGTAATACGTATGAAAATATATCATAACACGGCATTCGATTACATTACGCTGCAACGCGGTAACCCACTATCAATTTGGATGGTAAATGATGATTATTCACCCATTACTTTTTATTTATCTGGTAAATTTATTGTCGTTACGATCGTGTAACAGGAACTCACCGATCAAAACACGGGTTATTACATCAAGGTAAAGGCTGGGGATCGTAAAAATCCCATCAAGATGCAATACAGCCTGTACGGAAAATCCTTCTAAGGCGGATGTATACGCCATAAAATTCAACCCCTGTTTTAACATCGAATCCACAACAACTATAAAGACAACGATTAGGGGATTCTTATGTTGAAACTTAAACTTATTCTCTTTTTCCTTTAGCAATTTTGTCAATTTCGATGCACGGTGTGTACTGTTGCCAATGAATAAAATTACGAACGTGATTTCCACGCGTACTATACCGCCATATAATTAAATTTATGTTTTAACACCCATATTATAATGCGATATTCTACGAAACCTTTAACGCGCCACATTGCGTGGTTATTAATTAATTCTAATCATCTCGCTGTTCACAATGAAATTTCAATAAACCGTTTTTTCAATTTATGCACACCGATATATAACGAAATATATGCATAACACCTATTATTAAAAAATAAATAAATAAATAAAACGTGTGATAACAGGTACTGTAATTCTGGTGTCCTAACGCGTAAACGCGATAAAGAGAAAAACCCCTTGGTACTTTGTTTTTCCCTTCTCTGTCCAGTTAAATTTACGACGCTATAAAACTAATATTGCATCTGGTCGTAAATCTTGACGGGGTTAGCAAGCTCTCCCGTTATATGCACTTCAATGTGATAGACTCAGCATAAACACGCACTAGTTATGTAAGTGTATAATAATAAGTCTCTAAATAAACAGAAATTCGATAACTAATCGAATATTATTGACTTATATTTATGGGTATTATGACAAAAAAATCGAATTATATGAACATAATAGATCGTAACATGTTTTTATTCCAATTATATTAATTTATTTCATAGTGAGAGACAGAGAGAGAGAAAATGCGTATTAAAGCGTTATCGTTAGCGAGTATTTGTAATTTCAAATGTATATCAAAAGAAAAATCCGTGTAATGTAAAACAGATATACACTGGAATAGAATATAATAATACGATTGTTATAATATAACTACGATTAAAAGTGATTAATAATATAATTAAAAGTAATTGTGATACGAGTAAACATGCATTTATAATTGGATCGGTGTTGTTTTATGGAATTGAATCAAAATCATCGGGATTACATCGTCCGGAAATACTCCTCCTGATGTAGGCAAGGACAAACATAATGTGTTCTATAAGATGTATTCTTAAATTCTTTCCGGAGCAAATAATTAATGTTTAATTTTTATTATTTTATTTGTTCTTTTTTTTTTTTCTAAGACCGTTTTCTATAGCGTAATACATACAATATAATTTTATACAAATTTAATTGTATATAATATATTATAAGTATTGTATAAAAGATAACGAGGTGGTTAATTTATTGATTTAAAAGATACCAAAGAAGTAATTTCATGAAAGGTCATTGCATTCTTAAACATACACGTTATAACGAGTAATCACAATGAAATGCAGTTACCGCCATTGTTGAAAACAATCCCAACGTAAAACGTCCTACAATAGCCAATTAGAAT